CCTAACCTTAACCATTCCTTTTACCCCTATTCTACTCCCCCTTCTATCTAAAAACTACCAGAACTCCCCATCTACTATTATACATACTGTTAAAACTTCCTTTATAATCAGTTTAATTCCTATAATCCTTTCCATCTATTCTAACATGGAAAACACTACTTTCTATTGGGAATGAAAATTCATTACAAACTTTAAAATTCCCCTTAACCTTAAAATAGATCAATACTCCTTAATATTTTTCCCCATTGCACTATTCGTAACATGAGCTATTCTACCATTTGCAACATGATACATAGCTTCAGAACCTTACACCACAAAATTCTCTCTTTACCTCCTAATCTTTCTTATCGCTATACTCATCCTAATCATCGCTAACAACCTATTTCTTCTATTTATCGGCTGAGAAGGAGTTGGAATTATATCCCTCCTCCTAATTGGATGATGACATGGCCGAGCAGAAGCCAATACCGCTGCACTTCAAGCCGTACTTTATAACCGTATTGGAGACATTGGATTAATTCTCCCCATAGCATGACTAGCATCTTCTACTAATACCTGAGAGATTCAGCAATCATTCTCCTTAAATCAAACACCCCTTCTCCCTCTCATAGGGCTTATTCTAGCAGCTACAGGAAAATCTGCCCAATTTGGCCTCCACCCGTGGCTCCCAGCCGCTATAGAAGGACCAACTCCTGTATCTGCCCTACTTCATTCCAGCACAATCGTAGTCGCCGGAATCTTCCTTCTTATTCGCACTCACCACATATTATGTAGCAATCAAATCGCCTTAACTATGTGCCTTTGTATGGGTGCCTTATCCACATTATTTGCCGCTACATGCGCTCTTACCCAAAACGACATCAAAAAAATTATTGCTTTCTCTACATCCAGCCAATTAGGTCTCATAATAGTTACTATTGGCCTAAACCTACCTCAACTGGCCTTCTTACACATCTCCACCCATGCCTTCTTCAAAGCCATACTCTTCCTCTGCTCCGGGTCTATCATCCATAGTCTTCATGGTGAACAGGATATTCGAAAAATAGGAGGACTTCAGAAATTACTTCCCACAACTACCTCATGCCTTACAATCGGAAATCTAGCTCTCATAGGAACACCATTCCTAGCAGGGTTCTACTCAAAATACCTTATTATTGAAAACCTCAACACTTCATACCTAAACACTTGGGCACTCCTTCTAACCCTCGTAGCTACATCCTTTACCGCAACATATAGCCTACGTATAACCCTACTAGTACAAACTGATTACACCCGGGTCCTTCCCATTACCCCCATCAATGAAAACAATCCAGCAGTTACAAACCCAATCACCCGTCTTGCTCTTGGAAGTATCACAGCTGGATTATTAATCACCTCTTACATCTCCCCTGTAAAAACCCCTCCCATGACCATACCACTGACTTCAAAAACCGCAGCCATTATTGTCACAATATTAGGTATTATCCTAGCCCTAGAACTATCAAAACTCACACATTCCTTCACCACCCCTAAGCAAAATATGACTATAAACTTCTCAAACACCCTAGGGTATTTTAACCCAATCATACATCGCCTTAGCTCCTCTAAGCTACTACGCAACGGCCAAAACATTGCATCCCACTTAATTGACTTATCCTGATATAAGAAAATAGGCCCAGAGGGACTGGCAACCCTTCAACTCAAAACATCCAAAATCCTAACTATTTCCACTCTGGACTAATCAAAACCTATTTAGGATCCTTCGCCCTATCTATCTTAATTATAATTCTATTTACACAGAACTAAGAATTAATGGCCCCTAAATTACGAAAACATCATCCTCTTCTAAAAATAATCAATAACTCCCTAATTGACCTCCCAACACCATCAAACATTTCCGCCTGATGAAACTTTGGATCTCTTCTAGGTATTTGCCTAATAATCCAAATCATCACCGGCCTCTTATTAGCAATACACTACACCGCAGACCTCACCCTAGCATTTACATCCGTTGCCCATACATGCCGAAACGTTCAATTCGGCTGACTCATCCGTAACCTTCACGCAAACGGTGCTTCCTTCTTCTTCATATGCATTTACCTCCACATTGGACGAGGATTCTACTATGGTTCCTACTTATATAAAGAAACCTGAAACACAGGACTTATTCTTCTGCTTACTTTAATAGCAACTGCCTTTGTAGGGTATGTCCTTCCATGAGGCCAAATATCATTCTGAGGTGCCACAGTAATTACTAACCTATTCTAAGCTATCCCTTACATTGGCCAAACACTTGTAGAATGGGCTTGAGGTGGATTTTCAGTTGACAATCCTACACTCACCCGATTCTTTGCTCTTCACTTCCTCCTCCCATTCTTAATTGCCGGCCTCACCTTCATTCATCTAACTTTTTTACACGAAACAGGCTCAAACAACCCCCTAGGCATCCATTCAGATTGTGATAAAATCCCATTCCACCCCTACTTCTCAGTAAAAGATATTCTAGGCCTTTTATTCCTTTTCATCCCACTAATAACACTTGCTATATTCTCCCCTAACCTTTTAGGAGACCCAGAAAATTTTACTCCTGCAAATCCATTAGTTACACCTCCTCATATTAAACCCGAATGATATTTCCTATTTGCATCTGCTATTCTACGATCAATCCCCAACAAACTAGGAGGAGTCCTAGCCCTCGCTGCCTCCGTCCTAATTCTATTTTTAACCCCATTTCTCCACATGTCAAAACAACGAACACTAACCTTCCGACCTCTTTCTCAACTCCTATTTTGAATCTTAGTGACAAACCTCCTAATCCTCACATGAATTGGTAGTCAACCGGTTGAACATCCATTTATCATCATTGGACAACTTGCCTCAGCTACTTACTTCACAATTCTTCTTATTCTATTCCCCATTACCAGTCTCCTAGAAAATAAGATACTTAACCTCTAACTACTCTAATAGTTTATAAAAAACATTGGTCTTGTAAACCAAAGATTGAAGGTCACCCCCTTCTTAGAGTTTTCTAAAAATATTCAAGCACCCCAACTTTCTAATCAATACGACCATCAAGGTGAGGGGCCCCCCCCTCCCCCCCATACCCTATGGTATGTACTACTTTGCATTACATTCTCCACCACATTAGACATAACATCCATGTAGGAAAATCGGGTACACCATTATTGCAAAACCAACCAAATTTTCATGCTTTCTCCCATACACCCCAAACCAAGACATAAACATACCTAGGCACATTTCTACTTAACCCCATACCATGTCATGTTCTAGGAATAATTCCGCTAAACGAACTAAAACCTAAACTCGTTAATTTTCGCATAAATTCCTTTACAATACGAGGAACGTCACAGGACCTAGAATCCCCCGTTCAGGACCCCTCACCACTTAACCTTGCTCTACGCGCTGACCAAGAAGTGCTGGGTTATTTATTAATCGTACCCCTCACGAGAAACCAGCAACCCGGCGTTAGTAATGTTTATCATGTCCAGCTTCAGGTGTATTCTTTCTTCTGCCCCTAAAAACCCGCTCTCATAACTTGCTCTTTGTCGCCTCTGGTTCCTCGGTCAGGGCCATAACTTGCTTAATTTTCCTAAACTTGCGCTCCGTTACTAATGGTTGGGGATGCTTGGCCAACTCGGACCCCGTGATCGCGGCATTTTCTCTTTTCTAAACTTTTGGTTTTTTTTTTTGGGGTAGATCTCAATAAGCCCTTCAGAGTGCTCCGCCAGTGGGCTACCATATATGGTGGACGTGTGCGCCTTATGGTCGGCGAGCGGTTTTCTCACTTTCGCGTGTAAATTAATGATATGGTATGCAGGATGCTACTCGGTCTCATGCTGTTGCACTGATTCACCGTCAGGCGCTATTGGCTTGGCTCTTCAATTACGTCTCTCATCAAGTTGCCGTTTAATTAATGCACGCAAGACATGATTTTTCTCATTTTTTCTTGTCAATTTTGCAAAAAAATCACAAAAATTTTGTCATTTTTGCAATGATCTAGGGACCTTTCCGCTTTTCATCATTAATTTTTGTTTTAAAAATTTTTTACAAAAACTTTAAATTTTACAAACATTCCATTCCCCTAATTTACCAATTAACTAAGTTTGCATCATCAATTCGTTAAAATTTTTTATCCAACTAAACTCACCCCACTATTTTCCTTTCATCATTCGTTTGTTCATTCGTTCATTATACACAAACTCACCTCACTATTTTCCTTTCATCATTCGTTTGTTCATTCGTCATTATTTATACACAAACTCACCCCACTATTTTCTTCATCATTCGTTGTTCATTCGTTCAATCCACACAAACTCACCCCACTATTTTCCTTTCATCATTCGTTTGTTCATTCGTTCATTATACACAAACTCACCCCACTATTTTCCTTTCATCATTCGTTTGTTCATTCGGTCATTATACACAAACTCACCCCACTATTTTCCTTTCATCATTCGTTTGTTCATTCGTTCATTATACACAAACTCACCCCACTATTTTCCTTTCATCATTCGTTTGTTCATTCGTTCATTATACACAAACTCACCCCACTATTTTCTTTTCATCATTCGTTTGTTCATTCGTTCTTTATACACAAACTCACCCCACTATTTTCCTCCCACTCATCTATCTACTTAACTAATTATCCTAATCACCTACCCTCCCTCTTTCAACCTCATTACCCCAACCACCACCTCACCTACATACTCCTCCAATGATTAACCCCAAATCTTCCCTCCCCTCTCAGAAAAAAAGGAATTAAACCTTTATCACCAACTCCCAAAGCTGGTATTTTCATTAAACTATTTCCTGAACCTCCTCCCCCCTAACCTGCCCGAATTGCCCCCCGGGACAACCCTCGCACAAGCTCTAGCACAACAAACAACGTTAACAACAGACCCCAACCTGCAACTAAAAATTGTCCCACCCCCCAAGAATAAAACATAGCCGCACCCTCAAAATCTAAACGAACAAACGAAACACCTCCACTATCCACCGTACCCAACCCTAATCACCGTAACTCGGATAACCCTATAATAAATGCCCCTCCCCCCACCGCTAAAACTAACCCAACACCATACCCCACAACCCGCCAATCCCCCCAAGTCTCAGGAAACGGATCTGCTGCTAATGAAACTGAATATACAAAAACCACTAACATTCCGCCCAAATATACCAAGAACAATACTAACGACACGAAAGACACCCCTAAACTCATCAACCATCCACACCCCACAATAGCCGCCAACACTAGTCCCACTACTGCATAATAAGGAGAAGGATTAGAAGCAACTGCTAACCCCCCCAAAACAAAACTAACACTTAAAAAAAGTATAAAATACGTCATAACAATTCCTGCTTGGCCTCTATCCAAGACCTTTGGCCTGAAAAACCACCTTTGTAATTTCAACTACAAGAACATACAACCTTAACAAACTCATCTGCTCCATACAACCAATCAAACTCCTCCTCACACCTCCAACTCCCCAATCAACATATTTTTGTTATCCATTAAATCCCCTCCCACGACCAAAAATCCACTAACCAAGCCAATCTCAAACCTACATTTACCAGTTCCACAACTAAAACGTAAACCCCAATAACAACCACTAAACCCAAAATAACTTAGGTTCTTGTAGCTTACAATAAAGCATAACACTGACGATGTTAAGACGGCTATTACACATACCCAAGGACAAAAAAGACTTAGTCCTAACCTTACAGTTAGTTCTTGCCAAATATATACATGCAAGTATCCGCATTCCATTGAAAATGCCCTCAATACCTTAAAAAGACAGCAGGAGCAGGCATCAGGCACACCATCCAGATTGTAGCCCAAAACGCCTTGCCTAGCCACACCCCCACGGGTACTCAGCAGTAATTAATATTAAGCAATAAGTGTAAACTTGACTTAGTTAACGCAACTTATCAGGGTTGGTAAATCTTGTGCCAGCCACCGCGGTCACACAAGAAACCCAAATTAACTTTATACGGCGTAAAGAGTGGTTTTTCATTATCACTTAAACTAAGGCTGAAATGCAACCAAGCTGTTATAAGCATAAGATGCATCTAATACTTCCATAAAATGACCTTCGCTCTATGACCAACAAAACTCCACGAAAGCCAGGACACAAACTGGGATTAGATACCCCACTATGCCTGGCCCTAAATCCTGATGCTTTTGCCACTTAAGCATCCGCCTGAGAACTACGAGCACAAACGCTTAAAACTCTAAGGACTTGGCGGTGCTCCAAACCCACCTAGAGGAGCCTGTTCTATAATCGATAACCCACGATACATCCACCCATCCCTAGCCAAATCAGCCTATATACCGCCGTCGTCAGCCCACCCCTAAACTGAGGGTACAGCAGTGAGCACAATAGCAACCCCCCCGCTAGTAAGACAGGTCGAGGTATAGCCTATGAGATGGTAGAAATGGGCTACATTTTCTAACATAGAAAACCTTACGACAAGAAGTGTGAAATCACTCCTAAAGGCGGATTTAGCAGTAAAGCAGGATAATGATGCCTCCTTTAAACTGGCTCTGAAGCACGTACATACCGCCCGTCACCCTCCTCACAAGCTATGCCTAATTTTATTCATAATGACTTCTAAAGCTAGAGATGAGGCAAGTCGTAACAAGGTAATTGTACCGGAAGGTGCACTTAGTCTATCAAGACGTAGCTATAATTAAAGCATTCAGCTTACACCTGAAAGATATCTGTTTGTACCAGATCGCCTTGAAGCCTAGCTCTAGCTCTTTTACCAAATTGTATTAACTAAATCATGCCGCCCACTAAATCAAAGCATTCTCTCATGCAACCTAGTATAGGCGATAGAAAGGTCAACTCAAGACGCGATAGAGATTATGTACCGTAAGGGAAAAATGAAATAGCAATGACAAGCCAAGCATTAAACAGCAAAGACTAATCCGTGTACCTTTTGCATCATGATTTAGCAAGAATTTCCCAAGCAAAACGTCAATTTAAGCTTGCCCCCCCGAAACCCAAGCGAGCTACTTACGAGCAGCTATTCACTGAGCAAACCCGTCTCTGTTGCAAAAGAGTGGGATGACTCGTTAGTAGGGGTGAAAAGCCAACCGAGCTGGGTGATAGCTGGTTGCCTATGAAACGAATCTTAGTTCTCTCTTAATTCACCCCCTCGGACCACACTCAGCCTTCATGAGACGAATTAAGGGTTATTTAAAGGAGGTACAGCTCCTTTAAAAAAGAATACACTCTCCCCCAGCGGATAAATTAAATTTTATCTTCATTGTGGGCCTTCAAGCAGCCATCATTAAAGAGTGCGTCAAAGCTCAACACCTAAAAATCCAAACCTTCTTATGACTCCCTCATCCCCAATAGGCCAACTTATAATAAAAAAGAGAATTAATGCTAAAATAAGTAACTAGGGACTCCCTCTATGGCGCAAGCTTACATTATCTCATTATTAACAAACCACAGGATATCTTCTAACCCTAACAAGGCCCTATATCCAAGATTCTGTTAACCCACCTACGGAGCGCCTCTCAAAGATGATTAAAATCTGTAAAAGTAACTAGGCAAATCCAAGGCCCGACTGTTTACCAAAAACATAGCCTTTAGCTAAACCAAGTATTAAAGGTGAAACCTGCCCAGTGACAATACGTTCAACGGCCGCGGTATCCTAACCGTGCAAAAGTAGCGCAATCAATTGTCCCATAAATTGGGACCTGTATGAATGGCTTAACGAGGTCTTAGCTGTCTCCTACAGATAATCAGTGAAATTGATCTTCCCGTGCAAAGGCAGGAATAACTTCATAAGACAAGAAGACCCTGTGGAACTTTAAAATCTGCTACCACCCTCCATAAACAATAACCCTCCACAGGACTCACTCCCCTAGGATTTTATTGGTATGCATTTTTTGGTTGGGGCGACCTTGGAGATACACTCAACCTCCAAAAACCAGACAACCCATCTTGACCAAGAACTACTCATCAACGTACTAATAGTAACCAGACCCAATACAATTGATTAATGAACCTAGCTACCCCAGGGATAACAGCGCAATCTCCTTCAAGAGCCCACATCGACAAGGAGGTTTCCGACCTCGATGTTGGATCAGGACATCCTAGTGGTGCAACCGCTACCAAGGGTTCGTTTGTTCAACGATTAATAGTCCTACGTGATCTGAGTTCAGACCGGAGCAATCCAGGTCGGTTTCTATCTATGCTATAACTCCTTCTAGTACGAAAGGACCGAAGAAGTAAGGCCTCTGCCACAAGCACGCCTTCGCACCCAGTAATGAACCCAACTGAATTACTCAGAGCTCTACCATATACCTCTTCCTAGAAAAGGACCGCTAGCGTGGCAGAGCTTGGTAAATGCAGACGGCTTAAGCCCTTTACCCAGAGGTTCAAATCCTCTCCCTAGCTCCACATTAAACATATGGTAGTTCACTCTGCTCTGACTTACCTCATCATATCATTATCCTAGGCTCTATCCATCCTCATCGCCGTAGCATTTCTTACCCTAGTTGAACGTAAAGTCTTAAGTTATATACAAGCTCGAAAAGGACCCAACATTGTAGGGCCATTTGGTCTCCTACAGCCCATAGCAGATGGGGTAAAACTATTTATCAAAGAACCAATCCGTCCATCGACTTCATCCCCCTATTTATTTATAGCTACTCCTCTCCTAGCCCTTCTCCTAGCAATTACAATCTGAGTACCCCTCCCTCTACCCTTTCCCCTCTCTGACCTAAACCTGGGAATACTTTTCCTCCTAGCCCTATCCAGCCTAGCAGTTTACTCAATCCTATGATCAGGATGAGCTTCCAACTCAAAATATGCCCTACTTGGCGCCCTCCGAGCAGTCGCACAAACCATTTCCTACGAAGTCACCCTGGCTATTATTCTCCTATCTGTAATTATTCTAAGCGGTAACTACACCCTTAACACCCTTGCTACAACTCAAGAACCCCTTTACCTCATTTTCTCCTCCTGACCTTTAGCAATAATATGGTACATCTCCTCACTTGCTGAAACAAATCGTGCCCCATTTGACCTCACCGAGGGGGAATCTGAACTAGTTTCGGGATTTAATGTAGAATATGCCGCAGGCCCATTCGCCTTATTCTTTCTCGCTGAGTATGCCAATATTATACTAATAAATGCACTCACAACCATTTTATTCCTAAATCCTACCTCACTTAACCTCCCTCAAGAGCTCTTCCCTTTGACTCTAGCCACAAAAACCCTTCTCCTTTCCGCAGGCTTCTTATGAATCCGAGCCTCCTACCCTCGATTCCGCTATGATCAACTCATACATTTACTCTGAAAAAACTTCTTACCCCTAACCCTAGCCTTATGCCTATGGCACACCAGCCTCCCCATCTCGTATGCAGGCTTACCCCCCTACCTAAGGCACCTCAAGGAAATGTGCCTGAACCTACAAGGGTCACTATGATAAAGTGAACATAGAGGTACACCAATCCTCTCATTTCCTAGACTTAGAAAAGTAGGAATCGAACCTACACTAAAGGAATCAAAATCCTCCATCCTCCCTCTATATTATTCTCTAGTAAGGTCAGCTAATTAAGCTATCGGG